TCGCCATTCGGTGGCCTGGGAAAACCGTGATAAAGATACGGCGGTTCTGCCTGCCCCAGCCCCGGCTCCATCACCCGCTCCGTTACTTGCTCCGTGACCCGACGTCAATCGCCCTCTATCAGCCAGTCAAGGCTCCAACACCTCTGCTGAGGGGAGTTGTCGCTTGTTGGCATCTTCCGCTCGTTCAGATGCTCCTTCTCCTGCTACTCCTCTTCACGGATTCCGTCAGCAGTCTTTCTTGGAATCCGTTTCCAAGAGACAACAGTTTGCGAGCACGCACCCGACGGTGCAGAAGCTGAACGTCCTCCTGTCCAAGTTGCTGGTGCTGCAGTCCCTCCCTTTCCAAGTGGTGGACTCAGCAGAAATAAAATAAACTTATATATAAAAAATATATATAAAATCGAGCGCAGTCTGTGGATGTAGATAGGGTAGCTGCTGGCACAAAAAGGCACCTCGTGACCCTCCAGAGTAAATGATAAAATATGAAAGTGCAGCGCTAACTTAAAACAATGATTACACATATGATAGATCCCATATGAATGTGGATCGGCAAAATGACGGCGTCAGTTCATCAGATGTGCTAAATACGTATACAGTCTCCAACGCGTGAGGAGCCAGAGATAGTAGATATCAGAAATGATAAAGAATAGCCAAGTAATGCACTAACCAGATAGCGCATGTTAAAGCGCATGGGACATTTAAGACCTGTCCCTGGTACTCAGCCACTGTATCACTGGAGCAAGGCGGTGTCATCTATAGGGTGACCACTAGATGTCATCTGTCCAGATGGAAGCTGTATCCAGCCACTGTGTTAATGGATCAGGTGGGTGTCATCTATAGGGTGACCACTAGATGTCATCGGTTCCAGGAGAAGCTGTATCATGGATCCAGGGATGTCACTGCAGATGTGTTCTTGTTAGGCACAGTCCCAGGACCTTCTGGATTTACAGACTCCCCAGAAATAAAGAGCCCGTGGAAAAAGGCCTCAAATAGTGTGATAACGTTTATTTAAAAATGGACAATCAGAAAAGAACTTACTAGCAAAAGGTACAGCTGCTTATAAACGGCCAGACCGGAGGTACATGTACATAAAATAGCTTGGCACTTCCCTAACGCGTATCCTGTAAGTACACATCATCAATCGCCCTCTATCAGCCAGTCAAGGCTCCAACACCTCTGCTGAGGGGAGTTGTCGCTCGTTGCCATCTTCCGCTCGTTCAGATGCTCCTTCTCCTGCTACTCCTCTTCACGGATTCCGTCAGCAGTCTTTCTTGGAATCCGTTTCCAAGAGACAACAGTTTGCGAGCACGCACCCGACGGTGCAAAAGCTGAACGTCCTCCTGTCCAAGTTGCTGGTGCTGCAGTCCCTCCCTTTTCAAGTGGTGGACTCAGCACCTTTCCGAGAAATGATGGCTTGTGCCGAGCCGCGGTGGAGAGTGCCAAGCCGGCATTTCTTCGCCAAAAAGGCAGTGCCAGCCCTGCATTCACATGTAGAAGAGATGGTGGGCCAGTCTTTGAGCATGTCGGTCTCTGCCAAAGTGCACGGCAGCGCCGACGTGTGGAGCTGTAACTACGGTCAGGGACAGTACATGTCATTTACGGCCCACTGGGTGAACGTGGTGCCGGCACAGCCGCACCAGCAACTTGGACAGGTCACGCCGCTTTTGCCTCCACGTTTGCACGTCCTTGGTCCAGCAAAGGTGTCCGCCTCTACCACCTCTTCTTCCGCCGTGTCCTCAGCCGCCACCCCCGTGCCAAGTCCCATTACCCGACCGGCATATCACATGTGCAGGGCGCACGGTGTCACGCTGTGCTGCACCTGGTATGCCTTGGCGAACGTAGTCACACAGGGGAGGAACTTCTGAGTGTAATGAACAGAGAAATCGACAGATGGCTGTCTCCGCGCAAACTGAAAATCGGAACCATGTTGACCGACAACGGAAAGAACATGGTGTCTGCTCTGCGTCAAGGAAGGTTGTGCCATGCGCCATGCATGGCTCACGTGTTCAATCTGGTTGTCAAGCGGTTCCTAAAATCCACCATCCCACTGCAAGACATCCTTAAAATGTCATGTAAACTTTGCATGCATTTCAGCCATTCCTACACCGCAAAGCACACCCTCCTTGAGCTGCAGCGGCAGAACGGAATTCCACAGCATCGCCTGATCTGCGACGTTGCAACAAGGTGGAATTCAACCCTACATATGTTAGACCGCCTTTATGAACAGCGAAAGGTCATCACCGATTTCCTGATGTTACAAGCGGATAAAGGTACTCCCCTGTGTAACTTAGATGTCAGCCATTGGCAGCTCATGCGTGACACCTGCCGCTTGCTCAGGCCCTTTGAGGAGGCCACGCTATTCGTGAGTCGGCAGGACTATGGGATGAACGACGTCATTCCTCTGTTGCACGTCCTGGAACAAATGCTGTTAACAATGGCTGGTCAGGGTGCGGTAGACGTGGCGCACAGATCTCAACGCCACATGACCCCTGTGGGGGCAGGACAGGAAGAAGAGGAGGAGGTAGAGGAGGACATTGGTGCTCAGGAATTATTGAGTGAAATGGGTGGTTTTTCCACTCAGCGAACAGGAGTGGAGGAGCAGGAGCATCTGGTAGAGGAGGAGGAGGAGGAGACAGAGGACCCAGACGCACCGTGGCAGTATGCTGTGGAGATGGAGGCAGGGAGTCCCTCGCATTCCTTGGCACAAATGGCCCACAGCATGCTCGGTTGCTTGCGTAGCGACAGCCGAATAATAACCATCAGACAGAGGGATGACTTTTGGCTGTCCACCTTTGTTGGACCCTCGCTACCGTTCAAAAATGGTGGCCTTTTTCACACCTGCTGAGAGGGAGGCCAAAATAAAGTACTATAAAAACCACCTATGTAGTCAGTTGGTCTCTGCCTTTCTGCGCCAACGTCCATCCTCAGACACTGTGGGCCCTGTGCGCTCGCGTTCCGCTGCCATGGCAGCAGGGGAGGGGTGGGGTGGTAGGAGCAGTGGCAGCTCCACAGCAGCGGCTGCCTCAGTCTGCAGTCGATGATGAGTAGCTTTCTTCACCAGCGCAGTGAGGAAACTACTAACCAGCCGCAGCAGCAGCAGCATCAGGTGGACCTGGAGCAGGACCTCAAACAACAGGCTCGGGCCTACTTGGACAGCACCCTGCCAACCGAGGTAGACAATCCCCTTGACTACTGGGCAACGAAACTTGACCTTTGGCCCCAACTAGCTGAATTTGCCCTTGAAAGGCTGTCATGCCCGGCCAGTAGCGTGGCATCGGAGCGCGTGTTTAGTGCGGCAGGAGGTATTGTAACTCCGCGGAGGACACGACTGTCCACCCAAAGTGTGGAGAGACTCACGTTTGTGAAAATGAATCAGGCGTGGATTAGTCTGGATTTCAAACCACCAGTTCCTGACACAACTGACTAAATCCGCCATGAATCATGCCCCAAACATGTTATTATTTTTAACATAGGCCTCTGTATGGCCTTCAATTTAAGCTGCTTACGCTTCGCCACACTGCCATGGGCCCCTGTACCGCCTCCTCTTGCTGCTGCCAGGTCCAGAGTGTGTCATGGGTCCCTGTACGGCCTCCCATTGCTGCTGACTTCATCGCCAGACTCTGCCATGTGCCACTTTCAGGTCTCCTTACACTGTTGGTGGGTTCCATTTTGTGATAGGGTGCTGTATGGCCTTCCATTGCTGCTGCCTCCATCGCCACCCTGCGCCATGTGCCTCTGTCATCTGCTCACGCTGCTGACGGCTTCCGCTTTTTAACCGAGGCCTGTGTTTGGCTTCCGAATACTGCTGCATCCACCGCCACCCTGCGCCATGTGTCTCTGTTGTCTGCTCACGCTGCTGACTGGGCTTCCGCTTTTTAACCTAGGCCTGTGTATGGCTTCAGAATAATGCTGCCTACACCGCCACCCTGCGCCATGTGCCTCTGTCGTCTGCTCACGCTGCTGCCCAGGTCCATACTGATTCATGGCCCCCTGTACCGGCTCCTCATGAACGTGGTTCAGCGGGTTTGCATCACTTAACGGCAAATCGTTGACAAACGCTGGGACGTTCAGTGTTGTGCGCAATTAAGCCAGACACCAAAGGGCAGCACAGACCTGTTATTACTCGCTCAAGCATGGCTGAACAAAACCAGTCTCTACCACAAATTGGACCCAGACTTGCCCAGGGTCTCGTAAGTAGATTGCACGGAGGAGTAGAGTTCGTTATTGGAATTAACTGTGAGGGACTTTTAAACCTAGGCCTGTGTATGGCCTTCAATTGAAGCTGCTTCTGCTCCGCCACTCTGCCATTGGACTCTTGATAGTCGTCGTTGATAGATAGCCGGTACAGGGGGCCATGAATCAGTATGGACCTGGCAGCAGCGTGAGCAGACGACAGAGGCACATGGCGCAGGGTGGCGGTGTAGGCAGCATTATTCTGAAGCCATACACAGGCCTAGGTTAAAAAGCAGAAGCCGCCAGCAGCGTGAGCAGACGACAGAGACACATGGCGCAGGGTGGCGGTGGATGCAGCAGTATTCGGAAGCCAAACACAGGCCTCGGTTAAAAAGCGGAAGCCGTCAGCAGCATGAGCAGACGACAGAGACACATGGCGCAGGGTGGCGGTGGAGGCAGCAGCAATGGAAGGCCATACAGCACCCTATCACAAAATGGAACACACCAACAGTGTAAGGAGACCTGAAAGTGGCACATGGCAGAGTCTGGCGATGAAGTCAGCAGCAATGGGAGGCCGTAGAGGGACCCATGACACACTCTGGACCTGGCAGCAGCAAGAGGAGGCGGTACAGGGGCCCATGGCAGAGTGGCGAAGCGCAAGCAGCTTAAATTGAAGGCCATACAGAGGCCTATGTTAAAAAGTCCCCCCAGCAGCAGCGTGGGGAGACGACTATTAGTCGTCTCCCCACGCTGCTGCTGGGGGGACTTTTTAACATAGGCCTCTGTATGGCCTTCAATTTTAGCTGCTTACGCTCCGCCACTCTGCCATGGGCCCCTGTACCGCCTCCTCATGCTGCTGCCAGGCCCGTAATCTGCCATGGGCCCCCGTACCGACTCCTCATGCTGCTGCCAGGCCCGTAATCTGTCATGGGCCCCTGTACCGCCTCCTCATGCTGCTGCCAGGTCCAGAGTGTGTCATGGGTCCCTGTACGGCCTCCCATTGCTGCTGTCTCCATCGCCACACTCTGCCATGTGCCACTTTCAGGTCTCCTCACACTGCTGGTGGGTTCCATTTTGTCATAGGGTGCTGTATGGCCTCCCATTGCTGCTGCCAGGCCCGTAATCTGCCATGGGCACCCGTACCGACTCCTCATGCTGCTGCCAGGCCCGTAATCTGTCATGGGCCCCTGTACCGCCTCCTCATGCTGCTGCCAGGTCCAGAGTGTGTCATGGGTCCCTGTACGGCCTCCCATTGCTGCTGTCTCCATCGCCACACTCTGCCATGTGCCACTTTCAGGTCTCCTCACACTGCTGGTGGGTTCCATTTTGTCATAGGGTGCTGTATGGCCTCCCATTGCTGCTGCCTCCACCGCCACACTGTGGCTCCACACTCTGGTTTTGGCCCCGTGACTGCCCAAATGAGTGAAGTGTGCGGTGATTCTAAGATCGATGGCACTCATCTGCATGTCATACTGACTGACAGTATTATTTCTCTTCCCCAGCAGACTCCAAGGGCATTTAAATTAAAGGTACAGTGTTCTGCACTAATATAAAGGCTCTCTGAAGCCTAGAAACACCCTTTTTATAAGTTAAATTCGCAGCGAATATATTCGGCTCGAAGCGAATTTATTCGGCGAATTCGGCGAATCAGCCGAACCAAATTTTTGAATAATTCGCTCATCTCTAGTACTAAGCATAAAACATACTTATTGTCATAGTGAAAACTAAAAAACTGTGACCACATAAAATACTGAGAAGATTTGAATATAAATCAAGTCCTTAGATAAATCTTCAGAATATTCCTCCACTCTTGATGTGAATAACCTCAGTTCACGTGTTTAAAATACAGTATCCACAAAAACATATAGTAAGCGTGCTCAAAATATCCACGCGCTGCACCACCATATACTTCCACCTGTCAATGTTGCAGCTTACCTCTACTTATTGACCCACTCTCAAGGTAAGGTCTACATGAGCTCTCCCAATATTATGGGTTATAATCCTTCACTCTTCACCAAATACCAGCACCAACCATCCTGTCAGCAGCTCAATAATTCCAATAGCAGCCAATTCAATAAAGAAGGAAATAGAAGGAAATAGAAGGTCTCTCATAGTGTAGGATGTAGATTTATAGAATAATACTCACAAACATACCAGTGCACAGGAATAATCACCTGTTTCATTAAAAGACAAATTGCCCCTTAAGGATAAACATCCATCTGTAGTACAGCTAGTAAGTTGGCAGACCTTGAATTTCCGGCGTGATGACGTCATGTAGCATCGCCACTGGTGCGTTTCCTCACAGACAGCATGACTTCCTCATAGTCAGTGGTTGTTTGTAACATGTTGACCCTTGGTGGAATTGTCTGCCCCATTATAGTCTTTCTCCCTACCTCTTCAATCCTGATTTAAAGTGGAAGTTAAGGCAAGACCTAACTAACTCTAAACCTAATCTCAGCCACATACTAAGGATAATCTATCTAGCCTTGAAAAGAAAAATCACTAAACTTACCTGTTCTGCAGCCGATCCAGTCCAGTCTTGAGAGGCGCCCTCTGTGTGCAGGAGACAGCCAGCAACGGCCGGGAAATGCCTGGGAAGTGATGTCACCTATAGAGTTACTATGGGACTTCCGTTGTCTCTCCTACACACTCCGACACATTGAAGCTGCTGCTGAGAGCTGAGCCTGGGACCGGAACGGATAGGCTACAGAACAGGTAAGCATAGTGATTCTTTTCTTTACAGGGCTAGATAGATTGGGCTTAGAATGTGGTTGAGAGTAGGCTCAGAGTTAGTTAGGTTTTGCCTTTACGTCCATTTTAACCACTTCCATACCCGTCACTTTTACCCCCTTCCTGCCCAGGCTAATTTCCAGGTTTCAGCGCTCTCACACTTTGAATTTCAATTGCGCAGTCATGCAGCACTGTACCCAAACAAAATTTTTATCATTTTGTTCACACAACTAGAACTTTCTCTTGGTGGTATTTAATCACCGCTGGGGTTTTTATTTATTGCTAAATTTAAAAAAAAAAACTTAAAATTTAAAAAAAAACACACATTTTTCTTTGTTTCTGTTATAAACATTTGCAAATAAATAATTGTTCTTCATAAATTTAGGCCAAGTTGTATTCTGCTACATTTATTTGGTGAAAATAACCCAAATCAGTATTTATTATTTAGTCTGTAGGAAAGTTATAGCGTTCACAAACTATGGGATATATCTGAAAATTGATCAGTCCCTGAAGTACTGACAGCCAATCTAATTTCTTGAGGCCCAAAAATAGGCCCACTCAGGTGGTGTATTGAATAAATAAAAAGACAATTACAACAATTTTCTCTTTTAGAGTTAGTGTATGGAGGCTGAGTTCTTAGAAATCTGTGGTTCCCTTAACACTCCTGTGCCTGTGAAAGGCCTCACTCAATGCCAGCAAAGCTGAAAACAATTTTAGCCCAAGCTAGATTTTCTATAAACAGTATTTGTATAGAGGATCCAGTCGGGGGATACTGCTTGTGGTACCTAGTCTTCACTGGCATCAGACAAACCTTTGGACATTGGGGCGGGCAGAGTTTTTAAAGTAACTTCTCAATTGTATTTCCCCTTTGTGCAGAGATAAACTCAGTTTAAAAGTAAGTAAGCATATTGTACAAACAGTGCAAATAACTAACAAAGTCCATGAATGCTCCTACAAATATTAAATATGCTTTTGGATTTAGAGCTTCTATAAAAAAGGAACATGTCTGATGTTTATCAGCAACAAACCTGTATGGTATGTTTGCATTCAATTGTATGTCTTTGTCAGTTCCTTCCTTGGGATCACAATGAATTTTGGCTTCCTCTTCGATTTGTAAATGCCAAGTTTTTGTGTACTTTAGAAATCTAATTAATTTGTGTTCTTTAAATGTGGAGGGATTTATTGGATGTTTTATTTAGCAGACTATGTAAAGATGTTATTTAGAACTGAGCAATACAGCGCAGTGACAGAAATTATAGCAACTAGTGACAGAATTGTTGCATGTTCAGAATGGTAAATCAATAAGAATGTTTCCATATATGAAGTAATTTACATGAAATTCAGTTGCAGTAATTCAGGTTGTTTGTGTACCTTTATAGAGTTAATCTATTTGTTTTGAAGGCCCCAGCAGTTGGATCTCTCTGCCACTCTTTTCTACAGTGTTCCTACCTACCTTAATCTTACTCCTGCTACTCTAGGGGTGTTTCTATCAGTAAAAACACAAGGTTGAATCTGATTGGTTGTTGTTGTATGTTACAGTTATTGTAACTAGTAACGAGTTGGGGACAACTCGTTACTAGTTACAATAACTGTAACATACAACAACAACCAATCAGATTCAACCTTGTGTTTTTACTGATAGAATGGAAGAATGACACAAGTAGTAACAGACCACAATCCTTTGTTAAAATTGATAAATGTTGCTTTTTAAAATGGATCCTTCTTTCTCTGAAAGCAGAGTTGGATCATAGAAGACAAAAGTTAGAGCATTAATGCCCATCTCAACATTATTATATCTGTACTTTCTTCAAGAACTTCAAACTTAGCTATTATGTTCTCAGAGTATGAGACAAGAAGCCCAAGTAGGCCCATAAGCCTAACCTTTGCGGTTGGGGGCTGATATGGCTCCTGATATGAATTTGGTCATATTTTCTTCTTTACTGTTCATTATGACTTATCTTTTTAATGGTCATTGATTGATGTATCAACCTGTAAAATGCTATCATAGTTGCCAACATTTAAAAAAAAATTTAGGGACACTTTTTTTAATTGTATGTCCAGAAAGCCAGCATAGCTGGAGCAATATGTAAGTTGAGGGGGGGGGGGGGGGGGGGGGGCATCAATTGTGGGTGTGGTCTGGAGATACAAATGTGGGTGTGGCTTAAATTACTCAAAATGTTGAGTGTGGCTTAAAGGGGGTGTGGTTAAATAGAGTCTGAGATTTTCGTGGGCTCCCCCATGCAATTTTGCTCTCCATCCCAACAGTCCAAAAAACAAATAAACACACACAGACTTACCTAAAAAAAAAAAAAAAAAACCTTTAACAATATAAACATAAAGAACTGGTCCACACTCACTGATTGGTTGCTAGAGGTTACTGCCGTTAGTACAGAAGATGGTTAGAGACTGCAGACATGGAACAGGGATGGTCAGAGTACAAAGTGAAAGTTATAGAATCTACAAACCATGGTAAATATATTTGAAAATTGATCAATTCTTCATTTCATGTATATCTCATTTTTGTGGCCTTATATGAAAGTTCCGTACATATTCTCCCCAAAATGACCCATTTTGGAAAGCAGACAGTCCATTGTATTTAGTAAGAGACATGGTGAGTTTTCTGAAGTTGTAATTTTTTTCCAAAATTATTTGAAAAAGGATGAAAGTAAATAAGCTGTAATTTTAAAGTTACATCTCACATACAGCATGGGCTTACTTGCAATTACACCCCAAAACACCCTCTGCTACCACTGCCAAGTATTGGGATACCAAACGTGTAAAGATGAAATGTGAAAAAATGTGGAAAGAAAATGAAAATATATTTTTTTTTACACAGGTCTCAATTAATAAGATATTTCTATTACACAACAAAGGAACACTTAGAATTACACACCTTAAACATACTCTGTTACCTCTCCCAAGTATGGTGACACCGTATGTGTGAAAATGTGCCAAAATGATTTGAAAAATTATGAAAGTAAATAAGCTGTCATTTTAAAGTTAAATCTCACGTACAGCATGGGTTTACTTGTGGAAAATGATGAAAGAGAATGAAAATGTATTTTTTTTACACAAAGTTCTCAATTAATAAGATATTTTCTATTACACGACAAAGGAACACTTAGACTTACACCCCTAAACACACTCTGTTACTTCTCCCAAGTATGATGATACCGAATGTGTGAGACTTTTTCATAGCATTGTCACATAGAGAGGCCCAAAACACAAGGAGCTTCTTCCGGCTGTCTTGGGGCATAGATTACATATCTAATTTCCTGACTACCTATCACATTTGTGGAGACCCTGGAGCATTAGGACAGTAGAAACACCTATTAAATGACCACATTTTGGAAAGAAAACACCCCAAGATATATTCTAAAAAGCATATCAAGTCTTTTGGAAATTTTTTTTAGCCAAAAGTTTTTGGAAATTGTGGAAAGCAAATGAAATTTTACTTTTTTACACAAAGTTGCAAATTAATTATATATTTCTTAAACACAGCATGGGCATTTAGAATTATACACCAAAACACATTTTGCTACTCCTCCAGAGTATGGTGATACCACATGTTTGACACTTTTTAAAAAACAGTACTGTAATGGTCACCTCTATACAAGTGGGAATATGGCTTATTGGAGACTCATCTACAGCAGTCCTCATTCCAAAAAGGGGCGGACTGACCATTTGGAAACTCAGGCACTGCCCGAGGGCCTGGGGGTCAGTAGGGGGCCCCATAAGATGCCCCTGGTACCTTTTTCATAGGCTTCTTTGAGTTTGGGCAAGGACACAGGGGCCCCATGATCCCTTATTGCCCGGGGGCCCC